GCTGCTGTTTTTTTTTTTTTTTTTTTTTTTTTACAGTGTAGCAAAACTATTCTTATTTTAAAAAGTGGGGTTGATCAGGATTGGTATATATTAAAATGAAAATTACATTTTGTAAAATAAATAAATGATGATGAGTAACAAAACAAATGTGTGCAAAATTTTCTAGTGTCCATGTTTTCTACAGTGTTTCATCCAACCCCACATAACTGCAAGTTAGATCACCCCAGTAGTGGGGTAAGATGTGCCAGCAGTACTCTCTAACTTTCACAATTTAGGGATAAGTTCAAAACAAAAAAAAGAGAAAAAAGCAGCAAATAACTGTTGAGAGAGAGACAGACAGACAGACAGAAAGAAAGAAAGAAAGAAAGCAGACGTTAAAGCAAAAAGTATTAAAACCCTCTCTATCTTTTTGATATTGCTTATCTATTGCAAAATTACTGAATACACAGCAGGACACTATTGCAAAACAGATAATATAAGAGTAAATGTATACTGGTCAGATCTTGACAGATATATTTTTACTAGCATTGCCATGTTAAAATTTCCAGAATTTTCAGATTATCAAAGAACCAAAACTGCCAACCACAATCTCTAACTGCATCAAGTGTAGCAGGTAAGAACGGGTAACGATCCCACACGCCGCCTTTGTCAGAGTTCAGGGCGCTATCGACAGGTTGAGCTCTCGACTGAGCACTGGAAACGGCAGCAAATCAAAAACCTTGAGCGCTCCTAAAGACAAGACCGGCGCTGCTAACAGGATCTCTTAATGAATGAGTACCGATACCGAGGGCCCTTCTCCGCATCCTCTGCAAAGTCAAGCGAAGGAGAGGACGGGAACAATGCAAAACAACAGCTGCCTCGGCGCTGGCAGAGGAGACGTCGCATTTTTCCGCCTCAAACACCCCAAGGCATTATCTCGCTCAGTTAGTGACTTAACCACTCTGAACAGGCCATTTCCTTACATTGGAAACCACTTCTGCCTTACAGCCCACCTACACCAATGCAGTGCTCCTACAACACGACACGCACATCTGTTTTGAAGAGGTATGCTTGAGAGAGAGAAAAAAAAAAAAACGCATCTATTTTTTTCGCTTAACTTGTCTTGAGATCCCTCAATGACAACACATGGATTTCCAATCTCGGGGAGGATAATAAGTGTTAGTGGCTATTACAGAGGCGTCTGGCTGTCATCTCACACTTATTAGCCAGAGCGAAGCAGGCCGGGTCTCAACAGACACCCAGACATTCACAGCCTCTTACAAAACAAAGAGCCACTGCCACGCTGAATACCAGTCCCCTTCAGAGCCCAGCACAAATAAAATTAAAATGCTAAATCAATGAGCCTTCCTCTGACCTTTGCTTAAAAAGCCGAGGGTGCCTGGAGCAGTTCGATGTATTTAAAGGGAAGAGGTACACAACCGAATCAGATATTATTACGGCCACCTCGTATCCTTTCCAGAGACCAGAGATGGTAAATAGACTGCGTATTGCATATTAAACGGTGGGGGAAATAGCATGCCTATGGACGTTCTCATGAATGCA